TGCTCTGCCCTCGGTTTGCTCATCCGTAAAATGGGGGTGATGTTGAGGCCGACGCAGCTCTGGAAGCTGCCCCTGGAGAGGCCCAGACACTGCCCCCTTGAGAGAAAGTTGCCCGGGCTGCTGGGAGGGCCCCGTTGTTCCCTCATCAAGTTCAAGGCTGTGCTCCCGGTGAGGAGTGAGACTGGGATTGTGGGCCGGGTTTTGAGAGCCTGACTGCAGAGGGCCCGGGGCCTGGGCCTGTGCCGTCCAGTCTACTCCCAACAGGGGGCGCTGGCTCCCCAGGTAGCTCCCGGAGGCTGGTACCCCCAGGGCCTCTCACGGGGGCAGCTGGTGGAGCCGAGCACCTGGGGGCCTGGGCTCACGCCCGTGACACCCTCATCATCTGCTGGCACAATGCCGCTCCTTCCGACCCGGTTGGAGGAGGTCCTGAGAGCCCGGGCCCCGACGGTGGGACTGTAACCCTCACAATGGTGGGGGTGAAGGAGCCGTCCCTTCCCCAGCAGAGCTTCAGGCCGGCCAACAGCCAAGGAGCAGTCATACCGGCCCGTGCAAGGGACGGGCTGGCCCGAGTCCCTCCTCCGGCCCCTGGGGGCACATCAGTGAACAAAAAGAACCAATGTCCTCGCCCACCGCCTGGGGTGCATGCCTGCCCTCTGGGGGTGGGGTGGGGTGTGGATTTTGGCCTGCTGTCACTGGGCATTGGCCCCTCGGTCCTTGCCGCTGTCCTGACCCGCAGCTCCGAGGGGTCCTCCCCTGCAGCTCGGGGAGGAGGTGACGTGCTCGGTGCAGGCGGGGCTCCTGTGCCGGGGCAGAGCCGGCCCCCGCCCAGGCTGGAGTGGTTTCCCCTGAGCCGCTGCGCAGGGGTCTGGCCTCTGGGACGCAACCTGGGCACTCCGCCTGCCCTCATGAAGCTTCTCCCCACCCTCTTCGACCCAGAAAGGGGGCTCCCTTTCTGTGAGCAGGCAGGTAGTTCTCAGACCTGGCGGTACAGCTGGGGTCCATGGGCCAGCCAGATCCGTCTAGGGGGTGGGGCCCAGAAACTGTTCTCTTTAAGCCCCCCAGGGGGCCCCAGTGTGCCAACCCCCGGCACCAGGCAGGGTGGATGGGATGGGATGAAGACCGGGGCCCTGCAGCCACACCTCCTGGGGTCGAACCCTCCCCATCTGCCACTAGTGCTTGGTCCTCAGTTTCCCCATCTGTAAGAGAGGACAGATAACAGAACCCACATCCTAGGGTTGGTGGGGGGATGAAGAGCGTTTTACACGGACTGGGCACAGAGCCTGCCAGTGTCAGTGCTGCAGACCCAGCGGTGGGGTCTTTATTACTGTCGCCACCCCGGAAGAACTCCTCGAGGGTGGGAGGCAGGCCATGCAGTCCCCAGAACAGCCACACGATGGCGCTGTGCTGCAGAGTTCCGGTTCGCGTGTCCTGCTGAGGGCAGAATGGGTGGTGCTCCCCACCCACAAGGGTCCAGGGAGGGGCCCCGAGGCGACTCAGGCTCAGCCTCCTCCAGGCGGGGTCAGGGCGAGAGGGTGCAAACCCCACCCGGCCCAGGAGCGTGTGGTCTGGGGCATCCACTGACAGCTGGGGTGGGGGTGGGGAGGCGGGCAGTACGACCCGTTGCATATATGGGGCCATGGAGGCTCAGATGGTCAGGCAGCCGGTGGGGGTGGCAGGGGCACTGTCACGCAGGTGGGGCTCTGTGATGCCCGCTCTCTTAGCCCTCACCCTTCCTGGTGATGGACGTCGGAAGGGGCAGATTTTCCTGGGGCCTGGGAGGGCTGGGGTGCTCAGTTATTCGCAGAGCGGAGCTGCTTTAACGCCTCAAGTGCTGTTTGCAAAGAGTGGAAGCCACCTCCCATGCCCTTGGGCCCAGTGGCCTGGAGGCTGGGGATAGGGACCCCCTGGGTGGCTTGTGGCCCCGGCCAGGCTGGGGGTGAGGCCTGCCTGGGCTGAGGGGCGAAAACTGGGCCATCCTGGTGGGTGAGAGGTTCTCTCTCTCTCCTCTCTGGGTGCTGGGGCAGGGTGCTGGCTCTGGAATCACCCGGCAGCCCTGTGGGCCCTCAGTGGCAGCTAGTGTGGGTGGGCTGAGGATCAGTCAGCTGCCCACCTGAGGAGGGTCTGGGAGGGGTTCGGCCCCCTCTGGTTGTCTCGGCCCAGTGGGCATGGTGTCCTTTACTCTGGTCCGGGGTCAGGTAGGTCCGGCTCAGGCGCCCCCCTACACAGTGTGTGGTGTGGGGGGAGGGGGTCCTGGATGGTTATGAGAGAGGGGGGCCACCTGGAGGGGACCTCGGGGCAGGGGGAGAAGGGCTGCGGCCAGTGGGTCTTCCAGTACTTCACCCCACACGCGTGGGCACTTGCTCTCCTCTGGGCGAGGGTCCTGTGACCCCTCGCGGGCTTCCCGACACGTGTGCGACCCCAAGGATTGTCTCAACACCCCTGGGGTGGGCGGCTCCTAAATCCACACAGTGGCCCAGATCTCACCCCTGGGCTCCAGACAGCCTCTGGCATCTCCGCCTGGACGTCCAGAAATAGCCCCAGCCCCGGGAGGGGGCAGACTCGGGGGTATTTCTGGCTGGTGGATCATTCCTCTGAATCGGGGATGGGCTGGGACCCATGCAGTCAAGGCCCTTTCTTGGCCAAGAATGCAGCCCCTCCTGTGTGTCCCTTTCCCTTGAGGAAATCGGGGTCGCCCTGCTGGCGCTGTCCGCCTTAAGCAGCCCGTGCTGGTGGTCGGACCCCCAGTGGGAGGCAGCCTAGGTAGCCAGGGGCAAGTCTACCCACGGGGGTGGGCGCTTGACGAGTGGGGGTCAGAGGAGGCCTGAGCCTCCCCAACCCTGCGGTCAGTGCTCAGCTCCCAGGCCTGACCAGGAGGGTGTCTGTGGGGCTCAGGGCGGGGAGGCCAGGCCGAGGTGGAGGGCGCTGGAACACCTGCTGGGGGAGCCTGGCCCCCCAGATGGCACGTGGAGGGTCCCGGGCCCACGGCTGCTACAGTGACCTCAGGAGCAAAGGAACCGAGTTGTTTTTCCCAACACATGTTCCCGTGATAAAGCAAACAGGAAGAGGAAGCGGCCTGAGCGCAGGAAGCCGGGTGGACACCGGGCCTGTTTGGAGGGACTCGGGCAGACAGACAGACGCCACAGGGTGGGAGGTGGAGGGCCCTCTCCAAGGCATCCGGGCCCTGCTGCTGGACCTCACCCCAGCCCCCGGAGGGCTCACCCCTCCCCTCTGCAGGTGAGGAGCCCAGGTGGCGCCAGCCTTGTCCTGGTCACCGAGGAGGGCTGCTGGAGGTGCCGGTGCACCCAGGCCCGTCGGACGCCAGGCTCCCCTGGCCCTGGCCCTGCAGCCCCACGTGCCCTTCTGTGGACCCACGCATGCCAGGGAGCCCAAAGCCACACCCGAGACTGGCCGCAGGCCTGAGAGCAGGACTCCGTGGGCTCCCCCTACAGGAGTCCGGCCCAGGGCCGGCTACACAGGGGGTGCTCATACTTGCTCTGCCCATGTGGAAACAGGCGCAGAGAGGGCCCGCCACCTGCCCACAGGCCTCCCGCAAGGCAGGGCTGGCCCCACCCTTGGCTGCACCACTGCCGCTCCAGAGGGAGTGCAGGGCTGCACCGCTGGGCTCTGGGGTGGCCTTCCCGGTCCCATCCCCAGAGACATGCGGCAGCATTGTGTCAGTTAATCCTCCACACCAGACACCCGCAGGTGAGACTCCTCCCCACTTTGCAGGTGAGGAGGCTGGGGAGCTCCTCCTTCTTCCTTCCTTCCCTCCCCAGCTCCTGCCCACAAGGGGTCCTGGAAGTGGGCCAGGTGAGGAGGAGGGAAGAGGGGGATTTCTGGGGTGGGGCAGGTGCACTTCTAGGGTTCCAGAGACACGTCCATTCGGACTTTGTCTTTGAGTTTAGTTTAGTTTTTTTTTTTTATTTAAAACAAAGATGTCAGGCAGGAGGAACGCAGGCTGACCAATGATCCTGGTTTGCCCGGCACCAAGGGTTCCCAGGACACACACAGGAGTCACAGGGCCAGACGGGGGACAGCCCAGGAAACCAGGACAAAGCGCTTGCCCCTAGAACCATTTAATCCACCCGCACCTGATGCTTGAACTCCCTCCACTGTGTCCTCACCCAACAGCTGTCTGTCTTGATTGCCTACCCCCAGTGACAGTGAGCTCAGTACCATATACGACAGCAAGAGCCAACCAAGAGGTGAACGCAGCCAGGACCAGGCACTGACCACAGCGGGGTGAGGGGACCTGGGTCGCCTTCAGAGGCAGTCACACGAGGCTTCCCGGAGGAGAGAGGGGAGGAGGACAGGGCGTTCCCGACCAAGGGAACAGCACAGGCGAAGGCCTGGAGGCCTGAGGCCCCTCCTGGGGACGGGACTGTTAGCTGTTTGCGCTGACGGCCGGCACAACGCGGTGCTCTCCCCTCACCCTGCGTCTGGACACGTGGCGGCTTCTCTCCCGGGTCTCGGGCAGGTCTCCCGGCGCTCACGGGACTGTGGCCCGATGCCCTGGAATACCCTCCGCCCCCTCACTCTCCTGAGGCTCAGGGACCGGTCAGCACCGGCACCCGCCCCCTCCTCCAGTCCCCTGCCTCCCTGGCCGGGTGGCCTTGGGTGGGTCACCTGACCCCAGCGGTGACAAGGAGACAGTGGTCACGGCTGCTGCGGAGGGCGGGACCCGGCCCGGCACGGGCACACGCCTGGTGCACGGCACCGCTCACTCTTCCTCTCGGATGCCCATAAATGTCCCTCTCCAGCCGGGTGGAGCCACCCCAGGGAGACAGTGTGCAGGCGTGCTGGGGTCCCCAGAGCTGGGGCCGAGGTCTGGGGGGCTGAGTGGGCACCCAGGGGTGCCGTGGTTTCTCAGGCACCAGCCACAGGCTGCTGGGAGAGGCCCGGGCAGGGAAGGGCAGAGCTCAGATTTATCCACCAATCGCACGGGCTCTTGGCACGGGAACACGTTCTTATCTGCCCAGCCCAGCCTGGGGAGGGGCAGGGTGGCCGGCTGGCTGGGCGGGACGCCGCCTGGGGACTGGACGCTGCTGCCCGGCTGGCCAGCGGCTCTGAGCCCCACCAGGTGGGTGACAGCGGGAGGTCCCAGCGTCCCTGCAGGCCAGCAGCTGGCTGCCCACCCCTCTCCTGCACCATGTCGGATGGCGAGGGCCCCTCGGCCGGTGAGTGCTGGCGTTATATTTACCTTCTACAGGTCCGGTGGCAGGGTCAAGGCCACTGGTCTCCAAGAGCACTGCCTCCCCACCACGGGTTGCGGGTTGCGGCCAGTGGGGGCCTGGACCCCTGTCCTCCCAGCCTGACGCCCCGGGGACCTGTGCTCCTGAGCGGGGATGCTCGACTTTCAGAGCTCAGTTCTGCCCCCTCCAGCCCAGCTTCCCGGCGGGGCTGGGGCAGGAAGCTCTGTCCGCTGCAAACCCCTCTCGCTGTCAGCCCGGGCGTCCAGAGATGGCCCGCAGTGCAGCGGCGGCCCGGGCTGCGGCTGGCCACCAGGGTGGGCTCAGGGGGCGCTGATCTGGAGTGGGGGGGTCTGAGTCCTGTGGGGAGCCCTCAGCCCCTGCTCTGCCAGCAAGAGCAGGTCCTCCGTGGGCCCCAGAACCCCCAGGCTGCCGACAACCAGGGACAGCGTCTGGCAGAGGGGCAGGCAGACACTGGGGTCCCCCACATGCCTTCTGTCCTGCCCCTGGGGGGGGGGCTCGCTGCCCGGCTCCCTGGCTGGCTGCCCCCCGGCTCCTTCCAGTCGAAAACAAAGCCGCGATGTGGACGTGCTCCTGAACTGGCCTCGGGTGGGGCGGGGGACACTTTCATGTTGGGGGCACGTTGAGGACTCCGGGGTCAGGCTGCCAGGTTCAAATCCCAAATCTTTCACTTCCAACTTGGGTCACCCTGGGCTGGTGGCTTAACTGCCCTGAGGCTCGGGGTCCCCAGCTGCTTCCCAGGTGAGAAGCAGGCAGCAGTCAACGGTCCCTAGTCAGGCAGCTGCGGAGAGGAAACGTGGTACCGCGCAGGTGACGGCGGCTGCCGGCGCCCGGTGTGCGGTGAGCGCTCAGTGTGGTGCCACCTCCGTGGGAGCATCCCGTGGGGGGTCTGCGCAGGAGGCTAGGGGCGCGGGAACCTGTGTGCGCTGGTCCAGCACCTCCAGCCAGGCCCCCTGCCTCAGCCTCGGCCTGGCCGTGGATCCCTCAGCTGTCAGACACTTCTGGGGAGGGTCGTGGACGTGTCCAGCTGTCCCAGGGGCCCTGGGCTGGGTTGCAGGTGTCGGGGGTGTGCCCCTCCCCAAATGACATCTGATGGACAGCCCCGATGCCTGGGCCTCGCCGAGTCAGACTTGGAACCTTGTGTGCGTGGGGAGGGGGCCCCCGACAGCACTGGCCTGACCTCACCCTCGTCCACCAGGCGCCAGTGGCGCTGGCTGCCAGGGATTGTCCGCCGAGGCTGGGAAGGCCGAGAGCTGGCGTGGGGGGTGGTGCGGCCCTTTCTGGCCGGCTCTGCCCACACCTGACACGGACCCGGAATAGCTCCTTCCCTCCACCAGGGACACGGCCCTGCTTTTAGCAGCTCGTAAAGCCGCCGGCAGAGAGATGGGTATTTCAGGAAGGTCGGGACGGAGTTTAGCCCGTCGGGGCCGGGGACTGGGTCCTGAGCCTGTGTGTGCACGCGTGTGCGTGTATGCGTGTGCGTGTGTATTCAGGAGGCTCGTAGGAGACACGGCTCCTTCACTGTTTGGAAGGGGGTTGGCTGGGTTGGGGGCCTGCAGGCACCACACTGGCTCTGCCAACCCCGGCTGGCGGGCTGCCTGGCTGAGCTCGGGGCTTGGCTGCCCGCCTGTGACATGCCATACAATGGTCCTCGGGCTGTGCGGTGCTGGGCTTTTGAAAGAACATGGTTGGCAGGGGAGAAGACAGCCCCTGGGGATGGAGGGGGGCGGTCTCCTGAGTGAGCTGCCTGAAGTTCAGGTCTTCCTAGGATTCCTACCCCGCAGAGTGATGGGGCCCGGGCGGCTGCTGCGGAATATTTGTGCCTATTTTCAGGAACCCATCCCGAGGCCCGTGCCAACAGCCGCAGATTTCTCGGCTCTCCACCTGCTCCCTGTGTGACCTTGGGCTGATTGTGCCTCAAGGGCATTGTGCCTCACTTTCCTCATCTGTTCACGGGGACAACAACAGGGCATTAGCTCCTCAAGTTCAAGTGAGGATTAAGTGACCGAAAGCATGTAATGCTCTTAAAATAATGCCAGGCTTATTGTTAGCCGTTGGAGCTGTGACTATTATTCAACCAATAAGTGAAGTGTGAGCCACCCAGCAAATGCAGGGACCTAATTTTCTGCTGTGTCCTGTGTCCTGGCCATTTTGGACACATTATCTGTTCAGTCCCTTGGTGGGGTCGGGGGGTGGCATAAACCCCACTGTGTTGCTAAGGAAACTGAAGTTCAGAGAGAGAAACAGGTCGCCCCAGGTCACCCAGCTGGTAGACGGTAGGGCTGGGATTTGCCTCGGACCCTGTTTGTGCAAACCCCGGCCTGGGTGCCCCTTCTGGGGGGCCCCACCCTACTTATCCGGGGGCTGGCGGTCTCATAGGCCTTTTTAGCCCTCAGACCGCCTCACCTCGGATACGCTGCCTTAACATTGCTCCCAATAATGCGGAGTCTGCAGGGACTATGTGGCACCTCGTTAGGGTGTCAGGAAAGCCCGGAGCGGAGCACAGTGGCAGGCGGCTGGCGGGCTGTGGGATTTAGGGCCCGGTGGGCCTGGGCCGGGGAGCCCGCAGGCTAAGGTTACCGGTGTCAGCACTGTATTTATAGCCGGAGCCCGGGCTGCGCCCACAGCTGCCAGCCAGCGGAGGCGCTGCCCTTGCGTCGCCCGGATCCGGCACCTGGCTCTGGCCCTGGGTGAGGTGGGGCGAGCCTGGGTCACTCCCGCCCTGAGGCTGGGCTTCCCTGTCTGTAGAATGGGACCCCGCCCATCCCTGCTGGGCCTGCCTGGGTAGAGGGGCCCGGCGGTGCTGGTTCCAGACAGCCTAGGTCTGTGGGTTGTCTTCTCCTACCTTTGACCTTGTGCCCCACCCCGTCTCCTGCCGGCAGAGCTGCGCAGGAAGGGAATCCGGCCTCTGCGCCGTCAGCTCCCCAGTGTTTGGGGGAGTTTCCAGCAAAGCAGTTTTACCATTCCAGCAGCAAAAAACAGGCCGCTGTCTTCTCAGCAGGTCCCCCAGGGCCCAGGGTTCGAGTCTCTGCTCGGCCACTCCCTGGCTCTGGGGCCTTGGGGGTGTCACTTAACCCCTCTGAGCCTCCAACACAGGTGGCAGCAGCCCTAGGTCCGAGGGGGTGGTGAGGATGGGCACCCTGACCTGGGTATGTGCTCAGGCAGCACAGCGACCCTCTCTCTCCTCCGGCATCGCCTCCCACCAGCCCCCTGCTCCAGGCCCCAGCTGCTCCGTTGGTACAGTGGGAAGTGGCTGCCCTTGCTGGCACCCTGAGCTCCTGCAGGTTCCAGGCGGCTCGGCTGGGGAGGGCTGACAGTTCTCCGGAGCTCCCCCAAAGGACCCCCTTCCTTGGTTCTCTAAGTGTCTCCCTCTGCCTGACTCCAAGGAGGTTTGCCAAGGGTGGGGTCTGACATCAGGGTGGGGGTGTGAGTGGGGGTGGGGAGGGAATGGGAGTAGGCACCTCTCCCCGCCTCAGCCAACTCTTCCTGGCATCCCGGAGCCCAGAGACGGCCCCAGCTCCTTGCCCACCCCCAGACCTCATGGGGTGTGGGTGGGGGGCTCACCAGAGAGCAGAGCAGCCTCCCCTTCCCTCCTTGTCCCGCGTGGGTCCCACCCTTCTGTGTGGTTACTGACCCGCCCCAGGGGTGGGCCTGTGGGGACGAGACTGTGAGAGGACATAAGAGCAAAGTCCTCGAGCTACTCGGGCCTTGCTTGTGAGGAAGAACCGCGGCACGGCGTGCGTTCCGACCCCGGGCGGGGCTCAGGGACACCTGCTCTGAACCAGCCCTTGTCACGTCTGCGAACTCGAAGCAGCGAAACACCCCATCCGTGTGGCTGAGTCCTTTACCCTGTGTCCACGGTACCTGGGGGTTTCTGCGCTTGTGACCAGATACGCAGGTCAGACGCTGTTGGCAAGTGAACAGGCAAACGAAACTTACCACTTCTGCTCTTTTAAAGTGTGGGGTCCGTTGTAACGGAGTTGTCTTGACACAGTAACGTAGATTTTATGTTTTTATTTATTGTATTTTAAAAATGAAACAAAGTGCCCTGGCAGGTGTGGCTCAGCTGTTTGGGCACTGTCCTGAAAACCGAAAGGTCACAGGTTCAATCCCCGGTCAGGGCACATGCCTGGGTTGCAGGCTCGGTCCCCAGTCCGGGCGCATGCGAGAGGGGAGCAGTCGGCGTTCCGCTCTGGCATCAGAGCCTCTCTCCCCCTCTTTCTCTCTCCTTTCCCCTCTCTCTGGAATCAGTAAAAAAAAAAAAAAAAAAAAAAAAACTAATAAAACAAAGCTATTACCGTTTGCAACCACTTATCTGTTTCTTCCTGACACCATGCCATCGCAATAAAAACGGTCCGGAGACGGATCAAAGATGCCCATTGTCTCCTTAGTGGCTGACCCCACATTTCGTGTTGATCAGAACGGCCCCTTTGCGTTTTCCTGACCGCGTCCCTCGGGATGGGCTGGGCGTGCCGCGGGGAGGACGAACCGCAGAGCCTGGAAGCTGCAGAGGACTTCCATGCGGAGTCTGGGCGACGCTCAGGGCAGGTCCTCTCCTCGGTGGCTCAGCCTGGCGCCCCCACGGGGACCCCTGTGTCCCCAGGTCTGAGGCCAGAAAGGGAGGTGGGGGTGCCACCCTGTCAATTACACGTTCCCACCAGGAAGTGACCAATACTGCCGCTACCCGCATTTCATTGGCGGAAGCAAGTCACGTGGCCACGCCTAACGGCCAGACGGGGGAGCGCAGCCCTCGTGCCTGAACGGCAGCCCTAGCTGCCCCCCACGGGCTTTGTTTTCCAAAGGACTTTCTTTTTTAAAGGCACTCGGTGTAATTACGACCTGGTCGGGGACTCTCACGTGCGCTGCGGCGGGCTAGCACCCGAAATGTACTTCCTGGGTCCCTGCAGCGGGCACGCCTCAAAGCCAGGGGCGGGGTTTTCCAGGACACGCCCTCTCCCGCAGACCGG